ATAATATCAGGTGTTATTAAACATATTTTGATTCTGTAAGGGATTAAAAATGTTTCTGTTGTTATGTCTTGGAAAATAAAGCAAAAAAACCTAAAGATATTGTCTTTCTTTATAATGGACAAAACTACTTACAATGAACTTGCATGCTGTAAAATTATTGAATTACCTCTTCATCTGCTCTGTTTGACTACTTTGTTCAGGCAATATCAGGTGTTATTAAACATATTTTGATTCTGTAAGGGATTAAAAATGTTTCTGTTGTTATGTCTTGGAAAATAAAGCAAAAAAACCTAAAGATATTGTCTTTCTTTATAATGGACAAAACTACTTACAATGAACTTGCATGCTGTAAAATTATTGAATTACCTCTTCATCTGCTCTGTTTGACTACTTTGTTCAGGCAACTAAATTTTTAAATTTTGGATGACTACACTTGACTAAAACAAGATAAAATATATTTAAAGTCAGGTTATGAAGATCTTTTGATGGAAACATTTTTCAGTTGCTTCCTTACAATACATATAACAATTGCAAGTATCTCACCTCTATCCTTTCAACTTTGGTGTGTCAGATGGATTTCACTTAAAGCTATTCTTGTGTAATGCATATTGTGTATTTGAAAGGGAACAGCAACAGCAACAACAACATCCACCTCTTCACACCTGAAGAGGAGATGCCATGTTTCCAGTTCATGTTACTCAGTATAACACTCATGGGAAGTACCACTTCAAAATCTTAGGAGGGCAGACTCAAGATGCTTGGTATCCAAGACCAGTCATCTCATTTGAATACCCAGGGAGAAAAACTCAAAAGCTCCTCATCTTCCCAGTCAAAGTAATGCATAACATTTTGATACTCTTTCATGACATCTGAAGTCAGCTATTTGAGGTACTTGTCTGCTCTGAATCATAATAGGCCAACTCAGTGTTACGAGTACTTGACACTTCATACTTGCTGAGGTCAACAGCCTAGTGCTGAACTTGTGACTACTGAATAGTAATGATTAGTCTGGTCTAGACAAAATGAAAACATACTGTTTAAAAATAATCTATTTATTAATCGCATGACAAAAATAATTGCAAAACTTAATCATAGAAGCCTCAAAATTCAGCTTCAACATCTATGTCTGCTTCTGTTTAACTAAGATGGAGGAAAAGAAGAAGCTGACCACCTCTGTCCACAGAAGGAAGGAAAGAAGCCAAAGATAATTAATCTTCATGTAGCTCTAGGAAAGACAAGGAAGCAAATACCTGGGTTTTATTCTATCATCCCCTCATCTCCCCCGGCCCTCAACTAAAAACTCTTGCCTGCATGCATTTGTGTTCTGTGCAAAGTCCCGAAGCAAAAGGTTACATATTTGGATTTTTCCACAGTAAAACAGAAAAAAAACCCTTTCTTTACACAGAAAATAAATAGGATTGGAGGAAGGTCAGCGGGAACATTTCTCCCATCTGTTAGCTTTTCAACTGGGGGAAAAACAGCTCCTGGCCTAACCTAGGACTTTCACTATCCACTGTACCACACTGGCTCATAAGCATCACCGAAGCCTTTCCCACTCCTCCCTAAATGGCCCTTACATAAAAGCCTAACATCTGCAAGCAGCTGTGTAACTAAAGATTCAAAATATGTAGTTCAAGTAATTAAAGCCCATGTCTCTGAAGTACACCCTTCTTCAAGAGCCAAATTGTACTCACTACATGAAGTATGATACTACTGAAAAACAGTGGTACACTCTATTTCCTCCCCTCTTTCCTTACAAAGGCCAACCTAGAAAGCTACACAAAATCAGATCATGACTGGATTGTAACAATGCTTAGTGCTTGGAATCAATACCCTTTTTGCAAATAAGGTATTTGTGGTATCTCTGCAACATTTAGAAAAACAAAAGCAAAGAGCATCTGCAGCAAAGGCAACTATACAGCTCCAAAAGAAAAACTCAACATGTACAATATGGCAATAAAAATGACCAATGTGTCAATGTTATCATGTTCTCCAGAACTTTTCATTAGGTGTTTAGAAAGCAGGGGGCAAACGAAGAAATAAAAAAATTTAGGCATCCTTCAGTCTCGAGAGACTATGGTAATGTGATCTAAATAGAGGACTTGTAACAGCGTCTAGTGTGGCTGAGGAGACCAATTTGAGAGTGACAATCCCTTCCACACTGGACACACTGGAGACAAATACAATCTGTCTCCTGTCCAGCTCCCTGATTTTGCTGGTTTAGGGACTGCCTCTTTGCCTTGGCCTGCTAAACAAGTGTCTCCTCAAAATGGGAGGGGCCTGATGCACCCTCTGCCTCCAGGGTGAATGCTCAGATGTCAGGGTTTCCCATCTGTTGAGGTCCATTACTAAGGCCTTCAGATCCCACTTGCAGATATCCTTGTATCTCAGCTGTGGCCTCCGTTTTTGATTTTGCTGGTTTAGGGACTGCCTCTTTGCCTTGGCCTGCTAAACAAGTGTCTCCTCAAAATGGGAGGGGCCTGATGCACCCTCTGCCTCCAGGGTGAATGCTCAGATGTCAGGGTTTCCCATCTGTTGAGGTCCATTACTAAGGCCTTCAGATCCCACTTGCAGATATCCTTGTATCTCAGCTGTGGCCTCCGTTTTGGGCACTTTCCCTGCACTAATTCACCATACAGGAGATCTTTTGGAATCCAGCCGTCAGCCATTCTCACGACATGCCTGAGGCAAAGTAGACGTCACTGTTTCAGTAATGTATACATGCTAAAAATTCCAGCTCATTCTAGGACTACTCTATTTGGAATTTTGTCCTGCCAG